CTGCGCCACTGCACTGCAGCCTGGGCAACAGAATGAGACTCCCTCTCCAAATAAAAAAAAAAAAAAAAAAAAATTTTACAAAGGTATACAGAGGAAGCAGGGAAGCAGCCTCATTCCAGAATCTATCATTGCCGGCTAGGGCGGTAGCTCACGCCTGTAACCCCAGCACTTTGGGAGGTCAAGGCAGGTGGATCATGAGGTCAGGAGTTCAAGACCAGCCTGGCCAAGATGGTGAAACCCCATCTCTACTAAAAATACATAAAATTAGGCTAGATGCGGTGGCTTACAGGCCTGTAATCCCAGCACTTTGTGAGGCCAAGGCGGGCGGATCACCTGAGATCGGGAGCTTGAGACCAGCCTGACCAACATGGAGAAATCCCATTTCTACTAAAAATACAAAATTAGCCGGGCTTGGTGGCGCATGCCTGTGATCCCAGCTACCTGGGAGGCTGAGGCAGGAGAATCACTTTAACCTGGGAGGCAGAGGTTGCGGTGAGTCAAGATCTTGCCACTGCACTTCAGCCTGGGCAACAAGAGAGAAACTCTGTCTTAAAAAAAAAAAAAAAAAAATTAGCCGGGCATGGCGGCAGGCACCTGTAATCCCAGCTACTCAGGAGGCTGAGGCAGAGAACTGCTTGAACCCGGGAAGCGGAGATTGCAGTGAGCTGAGATCGCGCCAGTGCACTCCAGCCTGGGCGACAGAGCAAGACTCCGTTTCAAAAAACAAACCAAAACCAAAACCAAAAACTATCACTGCCAATCCATACAGTAAATAGTAAAAAGTTCAATACACTATTTCCATAGCAAAATATGCTCACTATTTTTTGAACTCACGTCAATGATCTTAGGTGTTTAACAACTAGATTGATTCTGAATAGCTGATATTTACAATCTTTTTTTTTCCTGAAAAGAGACAATCGCTAACCACAAGACCCAAAAATGATATAGCTTGTAGAAGATTTTTACACTGAGAAAATTCAACTAGGCAGGAGAATCTTAATTTAGCAATAAAACACTGGCTTGCACTCAAGAGATTTTTCACTTCCAGTTTCTACTGCCTTCTAGTTAAAAGTCTAACTGAACACAGGAAGAAAAATTAAAAATCCAGTTGCCAGGTTACAGTGCACAGGAAATCAATATTGAACAAAGGCCACCCACCATCAGAAAGTTATAGAAATTAACAATATAGCATTATGTTCACTCTGACAATTTGTTTTGCAGGCTAAAGATAGACAATTTTATTTCGGGGATTCATTCCTACACAGCTGAGTGAGGGAAAGTAAGATTTTTACCAAAATCAGAGATGCAAGTTTCTGGACAACTTCCTAATTACATACAAGACATTAAACAGGAAAAACAGTAACTTAAAATATCTGTAAAGTAAATAAAACATTTTACTTTTCATCTGTTTTTAATTGGTCCAACGACAATGATTCAAAAAATGCGAAGTAGCACCCTCTGGCAAGGTTAAGTGGAAAATCTTAAGTGGGGGAAGGTCCTAAAATCCCAGCCTTCTCCAAGATAGGTTCGAAATTAAGAGCTTTTATGTAAACTATCAAACTTCTATAACCTAGGATTTAAAGAAATGTAGCTACGAAATCGCTAAAGAGCAAACAGGTAAATCAAATGAGAAAACACACTCCCAAGCCCTTAAGGCACCCAGCATAAATATCTCTCTTCCCAGAGCTTAAAAAATATTTTTCTTATTAGCCAGGCACGGTGGTGCTTGCCTGCAGTCCCAGCTACTCGGGACACTGAGGCAAGGACGATCGCTTGAGCCCAGGAGGTACCGTTTGCAGTGACCTGAGATCGCGCCACCGCACTCCAGTCTGGGCAATAGACCAAGACCCTGTCTCAAAAAAAACAAAAAACAAAAAACAAACACCACCACACTTTTAAAACAAGTTATCAACGAAATAAGCCCTTACCAGCCAGATTCTTCTTAAGACTGGATGATAACCCATAAAAGCTTCTTCCACCTCAAATAACTGACTTACAACTTTTATTTTATAAATTCATTTAAGTCTTTAGCTTGGTAAGAGTCCCTGAAGAATTTACTAAATGGAATATATTGAATATTTTTAAAATAATATTTTAGCTGGTCTCTTCAAAACTTTTTTTTTTTTTTGAGACGGAGTCTGGCTGTGTCCCCCAGGCTGGAGTACAGTGGCATAATCTCGGCTCACTGCGAGCTTCGCCTCCCGGGTTCACGCCATTCTCCTGCCTCAGCCTCCTGAGTAGCTGGGACTACAGGCGCCCACTACCGCGCCCGGCTAATTTTTTGTATTTTTAGTAGAGATGGGGTTTCACCGTGGTCTCGATCTCCTGACCTTGTGATCCGCCCGCCTCGGCCTCCCAAAGTATTGGGATTACAGGCGTGAGCCACCGCGCCCGGCCGGATCACTAGTTTTGAAGGTAGCGTTTTTTTTTTTTTTTTTTTTTTTTTTTTGAGACAGTCTCGTTGTGTGGCCCCGGCTGGAGTGCAGAGGCGCGATCCCCCCTGCAAGCTCCACCTCTCGGGTTCACACCATTCTCCTGCCTCAGGCTTCCAGCAGCTGGGACCACAGGCGCCTGCGACCACGCCTGACTAATTTTTTGTATTTTTAGTAAAGACGGGGTTTCACCGTGTTAGCCAGGATGGTCTCGATCTCCTGACCTCGTGATCCGCCCGCATTGGCCTCCCAAAGTGCTGGGATTACAGGCGTGAGCCGCCGCGCCCGGCATCAAGGTAGCATTTTTTTTTTTTAACTAGAGAGGCTGCTTTTTGGAATTGTCTCTCTACTGCTACACTTAATTTTTTTGAGACGGAGTCTCCCTCTGTTGCCCAGGCTGGAGTACAGTGGCGCAATCTCGGCTCACTGAAACCTTCGACTCCTGGGTTCAAGCGATTCTCCTGCCTGTGCCTCCCGAGTAGCTGGGACTACAGGAGTGCACCACCACGCCCGGCTAGTTTTTGTATTTTTAGTAGAAACGGGGTTTCACCATATTGGCCAAGCTGGTCTCTAACTCCTGACCTCGTGATCCACCTGCCTCAGCCTCCCAAGTATTGGGATTACAGGCGTGAGCCACCGCGCCTGGCCTTACACTTTTCACCCAAGTTTTAAAATCTACTTTCCTAACTTAGCCGTTCCTTACCCCCATTTAAATATCTCATGTGCCCTCCAGAAAGTGCTTCTACTTCGAGCCCATTTTAAACATTTTCCACGAAAAGATATGTTGTTTGGCTCTATTATTAAAAGTTGCTTAATGCCTTATCTGACAAAAATTTTCCCTTACAGATTTTCAAGAGTATGAAAGATTAAGACTGATGTCTCTTCTACATTACTTTTGAGAGATTTCAAAGGGAAAAACAAAAGATACTTTACTTTTTTTTTTTTTTTTTTTTGAGACGGAGTTTTACTCTTGTTGCCCAGGCTGGAGTGCAATGGCAAGATCTCGGCTCACCGCAACCTCTGCCTCCCTGTTTCAAACAATTCTCCTACCTCAGCCTCCCGAGTAGCTGGGATTACAGGCATGTGCCACCACGTCCGGCTAATTTTTTGTATTTTTGTAGCGACGGGGTTTCTCCATGTTGGTCAGGCTGGTCTCCAACTCCCGACCTCAGGTGATCCGCCCACCTCGGCCTCTTAAAGTGCTGGGATTACAGGTGTGAGCCACCGCGCCCAGCCTGATTCAAACTTTTAAAAACCCCGATTACGTATCACTCTCGGGGAGGGGGCGCCTTCAAAAATTCTAACATGCTGTGCTCTAGCAGCTTGTTTCCAGTGATAAACTCGCTTCAGTGTATCCCTCACTCATCCCTTTAAGATTTCTAGCCAATATACTCACCGTCAGTATCATGACTTTGAATCAAGCAAACCCTTATTTTTCCACAAAGTCACTCCCCCTCATCTCTCTTCTGAATGGAATTTTTTTTAAAAAAAGGTTCCCCCTTAATTGCTCTCCATACCTTTTAGGACGCAGTTAGTACCTTAAAAAATAACCTCCCGTCAAAAAAAACCCAAAAACTAAAACAAAACCCTGTAAAACCGGCAGTTCCCACTGTACGTGGCAGTGCCAAGAATTCTTACTCGGTTAAAATCGCCGAGGCTTTCCTTTATCATCATAAAATGAAGACTACTATAGAACCTCAACACAAATTTAAACTCTTTAGGACAACGGTAGGTTAATTACACGCCTATTACATACATATTTCATCCCACAGTTACAGGATAGTGAAACCTCACCTCAAGTTTAACATAGAACACAGAAAATGTCCGTGTCTTTCCAAAGCAGACACGTGCAGAACTACCTGCTCAACGGTAACTCCTCCTCGCTGCCAGGGAAGCGGCTGAGTTTTGGCAACCTCCCGTGTTTTCAAGAGACTGGAGTTACGAGGCGGACTTCAAGTACCCACACTCAAGAAACCCAGACACTGGAGAGAGAAGTATGTTGCGGCGTGGGCATGGCTTCACTCTAGTTGCCTAGCAGTACCTGCCGCTCACGGCTAGGCCCGCGTGGGGCTCTCCCCAGGAGCTCCGCCAGGCACCTGGCGGCACCCACCACAGGTGCACTCGACTCAGGGCCTGGCCCGGGGACCACAAAGCAGCAGAACCGGAGCGCCCAAGCAGCCGAGGCGACCCACGAGGGTTCACGCTTCACGGCGCCGCATGGCGAGCAGCTCCGGGGAGCTTAAGGCCTAAGGTGAAGTTACCTAAGGAAGCGAGTAGCCCAGACAGCCAAAGAGGGAAAAAGTAGGATTTCCGGTAAAGGGAAGCCAAGGGACGTTTCAGGGGTGGGGGAAGCAGACATCTGGAGGAAAAATGTCCTCCACCCGCCAACGGTAACCGGAACAAGGATCCTGGACCTCCCGCCCCCAGGCAGGAACGACTGCCACCACCGATGCGAGAAAGGCTAGGGGGCCAAAAGCAGAGGGAGGGCAAGGGCCGCTTCCAGGGAGCCCCCAACGGGGCCTCGGCCTCACTCTGGGCGACCTTCCCTCGGCGGGGTGTCGCACTCACATTGTGAACGGGGCAGGGGGACGGGCGAACGGGTGGGCGGGCCTCTCTGGCGGCGGCTGCTGCTAGGGAGTCGACTTCTCTCCAGTGGCGACTCCGCGTTTTCTCCCCGGTCGCGGCCTCTTCTCGCTTCCCTCAGGCGACGGCGGCAGCGGCGGGCTCGACCTCGGTCCCCAGAATGCACCGCGCGGAAAGAGCGGCTCCTCCGGTCGGGGAGAAGAGGAAAGTGTAGGAAAACGGGCGCGAGGACGGAGAATGAACGTGCGTGCGTGCAAACGAGGGGTGGTGAGGCCGGGCGGCGGCTGGTGACGCAGCAAAATGCCCGGGCCTTTACCGCTGCGCGTGCGCAGTCCTTGTTTTCGGGGTCCGGCGCGGCTTTCTAGAGATATCTACGGAAAGGGCGGGGCTTCCCAGCTCCTTCGCGATCCTTCCTGGCGTCGGCCCCGCCCTTCGTCCGCCACCCCACCCCCACCCCGCCCCCTGCTAGTCGCTACGCGTTCCCGCCTCTCCTCCCGCGCTGTCCTCTCGCGTTAGAAAACCGTTGGTGGCCCAACTGCCCGGCCATGCGTCTTGGGCGATTTCTCTGAGAAACGGCTGCGTTGGCAGTGGGAGGCAAGGCCGAGGCGGAGGGACACGGAGTCGGGATCCTATAGCACTAAAATGGAGCGTTGGTTACTCTTGAGGGAGTAAATCAGTTCACTGAGGAATCATTCCACCACAAAAACCTGTGAAAAGGCTGTGCTGTGGAAAAGGGCTCACTTCAGAATCAAGGGCCTGGGTCTACCTCGCCATTTTTCTGAAGGTTGGAGGCTCTGTCTAGGGACAGTGGAAATTGGAGGTTCTTGGCGGAGGAGAAGCATTTGCCATTTGGGGCGGGCTTTTGCCCCTACCTTGAGACCTCAGTGCTGTAGATGAGACAGGAAGGATATTTGGTGGGAGAGTCTTAGGTTCCTGGGAATGGAGAGGCTAGGACATTGAGTGTCTCCACGCACATTATTTGGGGGAGAACGGGTTCCCCGTCGCTTCGTGCAACACACTAATAGGGTGTATTAGGGGATAGTAACCAAGAGACCCAAAACAGTCCTGCTTACCAAGAGGCCACTTAACGGTGGAGTACGGGGAAAATACTCTAGTGCACTGCATTATGAACAGGAAGGAGGTTTAACGAAAGTGCTATAAAACGTTTCTGAAGAACGGGGCTTCATAATAAGCAATAAGGTATTTAGTGTCTATGTTGTGCATGACAGGTAGTGGGAGCTACGAAAACTGGACCCTAGCTCAAATGCCATTTTGGACCGGGCGCCCGTAGCTCACGCCTGTAATCCCAGTACTTTGGGAAGCTTGAGGTGGGCGGATCACCTGAGGTCAGGAGTTCAGGACCAGCCTGCCCAACATGGTGAAACCCCATCTCTACTGAAATTACTAATTAGCAGGTCGTGGTGGCACGTGCCTGTAATGCCAAATACTAGGGAGTATGAGGCGGGAGGATAGCTGGAACCCAGGAGGTGGACGTTGCAGCGAGCACTCTAACCTGGGCGACAGAGTGAGACCCTGTCTCAAAAAAAAAAAAAAAAAAAAAAGGGAAGTTGGCCTGGCGCGGTGGCTCACGCCTGTAATCCCAGCACTTTGGGAGGCCGAGGCAGGCGGATCACGAGGTCAGGAGTTTGAGACCAGACTGGCCAACGTGGTGAAACCCCATCTCTACTAAAAATACAAAAATTAGCCGGGTGTGGTGGTAGGCGCTGGTAATCCCAGCTACTCAGGAGGTTGAGGCAGGAGAATTGCTTGACCCCGGGAGGCGGATATTGCAGTGAGCCGATCGCGCCACTGCACTCCAGCCTGGTAACAGAGCAAGACTCTGTAGGGGGGGAAAAAATTAAGAGGGTGTGGTGGTGGACGCTTGTAATCCCAGCTACTCCAGAGGCTGAGGCAGGAGAATCGCTTGAACCCAGGAGGCAGAGGTTGCAGTGAGCTAAGATTCTTCCATTGCACTCCAGCCTGGGCGACAGAGGGAGACTTCGTCTCAAAAAAATAAATAAATAAAAATTAGGCCGGGCGCCGTGGCTCAGGCCTGTAATCCCAACACTTTGGGACACTAAGGCAGGCGGATCACAAGGTCAAGAGAGAGGGACCATCCTGACCAACATAGTGAAACCCCGTATCTACTAAAAATACAAAAATTAGCCGAGTGTGGTTGGTGTGCCTATTAGTCCCAGCTACTCTGGAGGGTAAGGCAGGAGAATCGCTTGAACGGGGGAGGCAGAGGTTGTAGTGAGCCAAGATCGCGCCACTGCACTCCAGCCTGGGCAACAGAGCGAGACTCCGTCTCTAAATAGATAAATAAAGTGAAAACTGTAACTCTTACATCAGACGAAAACTGACAGGGGGGCCGGATTTGGTGTGCAGGCTGTAGTTTGCCAATCTCTAGCCTAAGTAGTCCAGAGTGTAAGGGAGTAAATTCAAGATATGTTCAAGAAGGTAGGTCATGGCTGGGCGCGGTGGCTCATGCCTGTAATCCAGCACTTTGAGAGGCAGATGCAGGCAGATCACTTGAGGCCAGGAGTTCGAAACCAGCCTGGCCAAGATGGTGAAACCGCATCTCTACTAAAAATACAAAAATTAGCTGGGCATGGTGCGCCTATAATCCCAGCTACTCAGGAGTCTTAGGTGGGAGAATCTCATGAATCCAGGAGACGCAGGTTGCAGCGAGTCTAGATTGTACCGCTGTACTCCAGCCTGGGTGACAGAGTGAGACTCTGTGTCCAAAAAAAAAAAAAAAAAAAGGTAGGTCACAACCAAATAATGGTGGCACTGAATGTCAGGCTTTTTTTTTTTCCGAGACGGAGTCTCACCCTGTTGCCTAGGCTGGAGTGCAGTGGCACAATCTTGGCTTACTACAACCACCGCCTCCCGGGTTCAAGTGATTCTCCTGCCTCAGCCTCCTGAGTAGCTGGGATTATAGGCGCTCCCCATCATGCCTAGCTAATTTTTGTATTTTTAGTAAAGATGGGATTTCACTAGGTTGTGCAGGCTGGTCTCGAACTCCTGACCTCAGGTTGTCTACCCACCTTGGCCTCCCAAAGTGCTGGGATTACAGGCATGAGCCACCACGCCCAGCCAGTCCACACAGCTTTTTAAAAAATTTTCCTGACAGCAATAACGTCATGGTCCACACAGCTTAATAAGTGTTTTGGCTCACTGCAACCTCCCCGTCCTGTGTTCAAGCGATTCTCCTGCCTCAGCCTCCAGAGTAGCTGGGACTATGGGCACACCACCATGCCCAGCTAATTTTTGCATTTTTAGTAGAGGCGGGGTTTCACTATGTTGGTCAGGCTGGTCTTGAACTCCTGACCTCGTGATTTGTCCCGTCTTGGTCTCCCAAAGTGCTGGGATTACAGGCGTGAGCCACTGTGCCTGGCCGGGCTAATTGTTTTTAACATTTCTCTGACAGTGGGACACTATTGAAGTTTTTTTTTTTTTTTTTTTTTTTGAGGGGGTTGGTGGTGTTTTTGTTTTTTTGAGACTGAGTCTTGCTCTGTTGCCAAGGCAGGAGTGCAGTGGCGCGATCTCGGCTCACTGCAAGCTCCGCCTCCTGCGTTCACGCTGTTCTGCCTCAGCCTCCAGAGTAACTGGGACTACAGGCGCCCGCCGCCATGCCCGGCTAATTCTTTTTTTTTTTTGTATTTTTAGTAGAGACAGGGTTTCACTGTGTTAGCCAGGATGGTCCCTCTCTCCTGACTTGTGATCCGCCCGCCTCGGCCTCCCGAAGTGCTGGTATTACAGGCTTGAGCCACTGTGCCCAGCCTGAAGTTTTTTTTTAAGTAGGAGAGTAGTTCTCTTGTGTTGTAAATTAATTTGGTGATAAGGTATAAGATGAATTTAAAAAGGAAGAACGGAACTGAAGGTAGCAATTACATGACTGCAACTCCAAATTACTGGCAATTTCCCTTATCAAAAGAAGTATTGCGGGAAAAACTGCCTTTTATAATACAGTTTTAAAAATTCAAACCCACTGCATCCTAATTCATAGGGTTTTGTTTTGTTTTGTATTTTGAGACGGAGTCTCGCTCTGGTGCCCAGGCTGATGCAGTGATGTGATCTTGGCTCACTGCAACCTCCACCTTCTGAGTTCAAGTGATTCTCCCACCTCAGCCTCCCTTATAGCTGGGATTACAGGCCTGCGCTACCACACCTGCGTAATTTTTGTATTTTTAGTAGAGACAAGGTTTTGCCATGTTGCCCAGGCTGGTCTTGAACTCCTAGTCTCAAGTGATCCGCCTGCCTCAGCCTCCCACAGTGCTGGGATAACAGGTGTGAGCCACCGCGCCAGCCTAATTCACTGTTATTTACACACATACTGCCATTGCTTATTTACTTCCCTGTGTCTTCTTTGCTAAACATATTTCAAGGGATTTCATGTTAATGTAGCTCTGAAAATGGCTTCTCTCTCAAAAGATCACAAATAATTTGTAATCAGGTTTATCCATGCATTTAGATGTTACCTCAACCATTAGCCAGTGGAACCCAAGTTGAACCAGATTTCTTTTTCAAATTCACTAAGAAGTTCAGTTTCTATAGGGGCAAAATCTAGATTCAAACATATTATGAGCCAGAGGTTTTGACAAAAGAATCTGCAGCCTGAATTGGCAGAAACTAGAAAATATTTGGCAAGTATTAGATCCTGTTTCAAAAGTTGAATCCTTAGGTGAGTGTCGTGGCTTGTGCCTATAGTCTCAGCTACACTGGAGACTGAAGTGGGAGGATCTGCTTGAGCCCAGGAGGTCCAGGCTGCAGTGACCCATAATGCAACCAGGACCTCCAGCCTGGGTGACACAGCAAGACGCTGTCTCAAAAGAAAAAAAAAAAAAAGTTTAATCTAACAATCTAACAATTGCCTAAGAGGAAAGAAATTACTAGGACAATTGAAAAAAATTTGTAAACGGAATGTAGAAGCATTCTGTCAGTTATAGCATCCATGTTCTCCCTGATATTTTTCTAAGGATTGAATTTATTTATTTTTGAGACAGAGTCTCACTCTGTAACTCAGGCTGGAGTGCAGTAGTGGTATCACAGGTCACTGCAGTCTTGAATTCTGGGGTTCAATCGATCTTCCTGTAAGAACTGAATTTAAATATATGTCCAGAGTCACAAATTGCAAAAGAGAACTTTTATAGACTGACTTGAGCAGTTAAAAAAATTGTTAATTGATGGTGAGAAAAGTTCTATTTTATTAAGGGGGCTTTCTAATAAGATAACAACTTAGAAGTTGTTAGTTTTGTATTAGGAAGTCAAAGGGAAAGGGTGCAGAATGGTAAAAATGTCTCTTGGGTATAGGGAATAAAAATTGGGCCGGGTGCAGTGGCTCACGCCTGTAATCCCAACACTTTGGGAGGCTGAGGCAGGTGGATCACCTGAGGTCAGGAGTTCAAGACCAGCCTGGCCAACAGGGCAAAACCCCATCTCTACCAAAAATACAAAAATTAGTTGGACGTGGTGGCAGGCACCTGTAATCCCAGCTACTTGGGAGGCTGAGGCAGAAGAATTGCTTGAACCTGGGAGGCAGAGGTTGCAGTGAGCCAAGATCATGCCATTGCATTTCAGCCGGGGCAACAAGAGCGAAATTCTGTCTAAAAAAAAAAAAAAAAAAAAAAAAAGGCCATAAACCTTAAAAGAGATATTATGACCCAGCTTAATATAAACATCACTAGGAGCCACTTGTAGTCCAAGCTACTTGAGAGGCTGAGGTGGGAGGATTGCTTGAGCCCAAGAGTTCAAGTCCAGCCTGAGCAATGTAGGGAGACCCTGTCTTTGAAAAAATAAGTTTTTTTTTTTTTTGAGATGGAGTCTTGCTCTGTCGCCCAGGCTGGAATGCAGTGGCACAATCTCAGCTCATGGGAACCTCTACCTCCTGGGTTCAAGCAATTCTCTTGCCTCAGCCTCCCGAGTAGCTGGGATTACAGGCAACTGCCACCATGTCCGGCTAATTTTTTGTTTTTGTTTTTTAGTAGAGACGGGGTTTCACCATGTTGGCCAGGCTGGTCTTGAACTCCTGACCTCAGGTGGTCTGCCTGCCTCAGCCTCCCAAAGTGCTGGGATTACAGACGTGAGCCACTGTGCCCGGCAAATAAAATCATTTTTTAAATTACTTATGTTTTAGGCCATGCATGGTGGCTCATGCCTGTAATCCCAACATTTTGGGAGGCGAAGGTGGGAGGATGGCTTGAGGCCAGGAGTTCAAAACCTGCCTGGGTGGCCGCGAGCAGTGATTCACACCTGTAATCCCAGCACTTTGGGAGGCCGAGGCAGGTAGATCATCTGAAGTCAGGAGTTCAAGAACAGCCTGGTCAACATGGTGAAATCCCATATTTACTA